ATTTATAACTATTTTAAACAGAAAATATGCAAAGTCTGCAAAGTAAAATTCTTTATAATTTCAATAACTTTATCTCAACTGTCAAGTTATTTTGACACAGCCCACGTTCTCTATGTTCATTTCTGAAGTACCCACTCTAGTTAATTTATTTACTAATATTTTTAGCAAATATTTAGATAATAGCTATGAGTTATTATACAAAATTACTAATTACTGTAACGTACATATTTTCGTCACGACGTTCGATCTTTTGTAAAAGTCAGATTGACTCGTGTCGATAACAATGGAGTGATTGTTGCAAATCAACTAAATAAATAATTTACTAATATAATTAGCAGCATAATTATAATTATTAGTTAATAGTTAGATAACAATTTGACGGCAGTATTGTGATGATATAAACATAGGTTTCCGAGAAATATATAGATATTTAGCTTCAAACTTTAAATCAGGCTAACAACCTTTCAATAAATGCCAAAAACTTTGAACTTGTGACCATTTTTTCCAGGCTGAAGCTATAACTAGCCACCTTGTCCATCAACCATAACAAACAACACCTCACTCCACCCACTTTTCCATTACAATTCATCAATTCTTTTGTAATTAAAATTCAACTCTGAGTTACAACTGAAATAATAATAATAAAAAAAGTTGGCACAACAACCTTGCAACAAAAAGTTGCAAAAACAAAGAAAACAATAACAATGTTTCTGCTCTAAATAAAGTTTTTTTTTCAGCAAACAATCTAACATGCATAAGTCTAAAAGTTAAGGTGTGTGTGTGCGTGTGTGTTTTAGTTTTTTTTTGGCCACAACAAGTTTTCACTGGAAAATAGTAATAGTAAACACATTTCAAATATTTTTTACTAAAGATTGAAATGAAAATGGAAAAATCTTTACCACTTGGTCGGCATGTTGCACGTACACAATTACATTTACACAAAAAAAAAAGTGAAAATTGCAGTATAAATTGTAAATTAAAGGTACTCATTTGGAAAAATTTGAAAAAAACAACACACACACACACAATACTCTTGCACTCGTCTATACATTAATTAATCTATTGTTAAAATGAAAACAGATTACTAGAAAATTGCTAGTACTGAAAATTGTTGCAACAACAAAAAGAAAAAGTAAAAACTCAAATGAAAACGAAAAGTCATCATTAGGCTTTTTGTGAGTAAAAGGTAAATAAATTAATATAACATTAATAAATTTACAAGAAGCTTAAAAGGGTAGTCAAAGTAAAACAATAAAATGTCTAGTCTAGTCTATAGTTTAGTCTTTAGACTAGTCTATAAATTAGTCTATAGTCTAGTCTTTAGACTAGTCAATAGTCTAGTCAATAGTCTAGTCTTTAGACTAGTCTATAGTCTAGTCTTTAGATTAGTCTATAGTCTAGTCTTTAGACTATTCTATAGTCTAGTCTATAGTATAGTCTATAGTCTAGTCTATAGTCTAGTCTATAGTCCAGTCTATAGTCTAGTCTATAGTCGAGTCTATAGTCTAGTCTATAATCTAGTCTATAGTCTAGTCTTTAGTCTAGAATAAAGTCTAGTCTATAGTCTAGTCTATAGTCTAGTCTATAGTCTAGTCTATAGTCTAGTCTATAGTCCAGTCTATAGTCCAGTCTATAGTCTAGTCTATAGTCTAGTCTATAGTCTAGTCTATAGTCTAGTCTATAGTCTAGTCTATAGTCTAGTCTATAGTCTAGTCTATAGTCTAGTCTATAGTCTATAGTCTATAGTCTAGTCTATAGTCTAGTCTATAGTCTAGTCTATAGTCTAGTCTATAGTCTAGTCTATAGTAGTCTATAGTCTAGTCTATAGTCTAGTCTATAGTCTAGTCTATAGTCTAGTCTATAGTCTAGTCTATAGTCTAGTCTATAGTCTAGTCTATAGTCTAGTCTATAGTCTAGTCTATAGTCTAGTCTATAGTCTAGTCTATAGTCTAGTCTATAGTCTAGTCTATAGTCTAGTCTATAGTCTAGTCTATAGTCTAGTCTATAGTCTAGTCTATAGTCTATATAGTCTAGTCTATAGTCTAGTCTATAGTCTAGTCTATAGTCTAGTCTATAGTCTAGTCTATAGTCTAGTCTATAGTCTAGTCTATAGTCTAGTCTATAGTCTAGTCTATAGTCTAGTCTATAGTCTAGTCTATAGTCTAGCTATAGTCTAGTCTAGTCTATAGTCTAGTCTATAGTCTAGTCTATAGTCTAGTCTATAGTCTAGTCTATAGTCTAGTCTATAGTCTAGTCTATAGTCTAGTCTATAGTCTAGTCTATAGTCTAGTCTATAGTCTAGTCTATAGTCTAGTCTAGTCTAGTCTAGTAGTCTATAGTCTAGTCTATAGTCTAGTCTATAGTCTAGTCTATAGTCTAGTCTATAGTCTAGTCTATAGTCTAGTCTATAGTCTAGTCTATAGTCTAGTCTATAGTCTAGTCTATAGTCTAGTCTATAGTCTAGTCTATAGTCTAGTCTATAGTCTAGTCTATAGTCTAGTCTATAGTCTAGTCTATAGTCTAGTCTATAGTCTAGTCTATAGTCTAGTCTATAGTCTAGTCTATAGTCTAGTATATAGTCTATATATAGTCTATATAGTCTAGTCTATAGTCTAGTCTATAGTCTAGTCTATAGTCTAGTCTATAGTCTAGTCTATAGTCTAGTCTATAGTCTAGTCTATAGTCTAGTCTATAGTCTAGTCTATAGTCTAGTCTATAGTCTAGTCTATAGTCTAGTCTATAGTCTAGTCTATAGTCTAGTCTATAGTCTAGTCTATAGTCTAGTCTATAGTCTAGTCTAGTCTATAGTCTAGTCTAGTCTATAGTCTAGTCTAGTCTATAGTCTAGTCTAGTCTATAGTCTAGTCTATAGTCTAGTCTATAGTCTAGTCTATAGTCTAGTCCATAGTCTAGTCTATAGTCTAGTCTATAGTCTAGTCTATAGTCTAGTCTATAGTCTAGTCTTAGTCTAGTCTATAGTCTAGTCTATACTCTAGTCTATAGTCTAGTCTATAGTCTAGTCTATACTCTAGTCTATAGTCTAGTCTATAGTCTAGTCTATACTCTAGTCTATAGTCTAGTCTATAGTCTAGTCTATAGTCTAGTCTATAGTCTAGTCTATAGTCTAGTCTATACTCTAGTCTATAGTCTAGTCTATAGTCTAGTCTATAGTCTAGTCTACAGTCTAGTCTATAGTCTAGTCTATAGTATAGTCTATAGTCTAGTCTATAGTCTAGTCTATATTCTAGTCTATAGTCTAGTCTATAGTCTAGTCTATAGTCTAGTCTATAGTCTAGTCTATAGTCTAGTCTATAGTCTAGTCTATAGTCTAGTCTATAGTCCGGTCTTTAGTCTAGTCTGCACTATGGGTATGAAGCAAAATTTGATGCATAATCTTAGTTTTTTCTTTATTTTCTAGATTATTTAAGTGAAGTTTTTTATTCTTTTTATTTCTAAGCCATTGTGCAACAATGAGAGTAACAGCTAAGTTAGTCTCATATCAAGCGTAAGGCAAATAATATAACTTTTAAATAAAATTTAACAACATTATCACTTTCATCACTTTTTTTTCAAAAAAGAAATGAAACATGTATAAAGCTGAATACAAACTGCTTGGTATACAAAAACAACAAGTAAAGAAAAATGATAAATGTTATAGATACTCTAGTTTAAAATAAAAGTAAGTATGTATTTTTGAAATACGAGGTTGTCCGTCAGACAAGGTAAACTTAACGGAGTATAAAGATGTTTTTGTGTGTAAAATGTATAAACAATTGCTTTTAACATGCTTTCGTTTTTTTTTTTTTTCAAAGTTTCATTCTTAACAAAAGAATGAAATGATTTGTAAACATTTAGGAAAAGTTTAAGCTTTTTTTTTAATTGTTTAAATTTTAAAAATATGCGTAAAAGTAATTGCATTGATCATTTGCTTTAATTTTAAATTCATTTTCTTTCTACGATCATGTAAGTTGTAATTAAATTTAAATTTTCTTTTCTTAATTAGAGTGCGTGAAGTATTAATGGGGTTTTTTTTTGTTCAGTCTTTTCCTTTTAAATCTTTTATTAAATTTTTAAAAATTTTCTAAAGAAAAGTTATGCGTGTGTAATTACAATTTAAAGTCAAATGAATATAAATTGTAAATGTTATGATATTTGCTACGCCTGACATAGAATTGTCTTAATATAACTATCGAAGGTTAAAACGATTTGAGGAGCATATCAAGGGAAATTACTTTTTTGTAAAAATTTAAACATGTAAAAGTTATTTAAAAGAAAAATGTGTGAAAATTTCATGAAGTTTTGTTTTAAAACTCCCAAAAACATTGTTTACTTGATAATTTTTATTAAAAATAATTTTGAAATAATTTAACACACTTTTTATATTGTCGTTAAATGATAAGATAACAAAATTAACTAAACAAAATGTTATTATGATTAATAATAAAATACGTTATAAAAAGGTCTCACATGAGCAGCACTGACTGACAAATTTCCTATTATAACTGCTTAAGTTAACATTGTTTTATTTTTTTTTTTTTTATCAAATATCATAAAAATTATATTACCACAAAGTTTACAAAATCATTAAATTTATTAGATTACCTATAAAAATAAAATTGTTTAAAAAGTAAACAAAAACTAATTTGTTAATAATTTTTATATGGCAAACTTTTAACAGGTGATAAGATTGAAAAGACTGAAAAAAGCAAGTAAAACAGATTGTTTTCTTCAGAAATTGTTACAGCAAATGGGTCATATTGAGGTTCAAAATTTTGAGATAAAGGGTTTCAAGAACTATAAATGGATTTTCCAAATATCCACTAAAAGGCTTAACCGCTATATTGCAGAGAGATAATAACTACGCGATAGATAGCCCATAGAAAGTACAAATATAAAGGCCTACTAATATGAAATAATTTTTAAAGTTTTGTTAGCTAAATTTTATTGTAATAACTTTTCTAAGTGAACAGATATTAAAATAATATAAAAAATTTTACTTACCCACAATAATGTTGCTAAAGCAAAGTAATTGCTGTTCAAGGTTTCGTCTAATCCAACCTGTAAAAAAACACACAATAAAAATAAATTTATTAATATTAATATAAAAATGAGCACGAAAATAAAAAAGATAAATTAAGGTCAAATAAAAATTGTCAATATCTAAAATTAGAACAGAACTAGAACAGAACTAGAACAGAACTAAAACAGAACTTAAACAGAACTAGAACAGAACTAGAACAGAACTAGAACAGAACTAGAACAGAACTAGAACAGAACTAGAACAGAACTAGAACAGAACTAGAACAGAACTAGAACAGAACTAGAACAGAACTAGAACAGAACTAGAACAGAACAGAACTAGAACAGAACTAGAACTAGAACAGAACTAGAACAGAACTAGAACAGAACTAGAACAGAACTAGAACAGAACTAGAACAGAACTAGAACAGAACTAGAACAGAACAAACAGAACTAGAACAGAACTAGAACAGAACTAGAACAGAACTAGAACAGAACTAGAACAGAACTAGAACAGAACTAGAACAGAACTAGAACAGAACTAGAACAGAACTAGAACAGAACTAGAACAGAACTAGAACAGAACTAGAACAGAACTAGAACTAGAACAGAACTAGAACTAGAACAGAACTAGAACAGAACTAGAACAGAACTAGAACAGAACTAGAACAGAACTAGAACAGAACTAGAACAGAACTAGAACAGAACTAGAACAGAACTAGAACAGAACTAGAACAGAACTAGAACAGAACTAGAACAGAACTAGAACAGAACTAGAACAGAACTAGAACAGAACTAGAACAGAACTAGAACAGAACTAGAACAGAACTAGAACAGAACTAGAACAGAACTAGAACAGAACTAGAACAGAACTAGAACAGAACTAGAACAGAACTAGAACAGAACTAGAACAGAACTAGAACAGAACTAGAACAGAACTAGAACAGAACTAGAACAGAACTAGAACAGAACTAGAACAGAACTTGAACAGAACTAGAACAAAACTAGAACAAAACTAGAACAAAACTAGAACAAAACTAGAACAGAACTAGAACACAACTAGAACACAACTAGAACACAACTAGAACACAACTAGAACACAACTAGAACAGAACTAGAACAGAACTAGAACAGAACTAGAACAGAACTAGAACAGAACTAGAAAAGAACTAGAACAGAACTAGAACAGAACTAGAACACAACTAGAACTGAACTAGAACAGAATTAGAACAGAACTAGAACAGAACTGGAACAGAACTAGAACAGAACTAGAACAGAACTAGAACAGAACTAGAACAGAACTAGAACAGAACTAGAACAGAACTAGAACAGAACTAGAACAGAACTAGAACAGAACTAGAACAGAACTAGAACAGAACTAGAACAGAACTAGAACAGAACTAGAACAGAACTAGAACAGAACTAGAACAGAACTAGAACAGAACTAGAACAGAACTAGAACAGAACTAGAACAGAACTGGAATAGAACTAGAACAGAACTAGAACAGAACAGAACAGAACAGAACAGAACTAGAACAGAACTAGAACAGAACTAGAACAGAACTAGAACAGAACTAGAACAGAACTAGAACAGAACTAGAACAGAACTACAACAGAACTACAACAGAACTACGACAGAACTAAAACAGAACTAAAACAGAACTAGAACAGAACTAGAACAGAACTAGAACAGAACTAGAACAGAACTAGAACAGAACTAGAACAGAACTAGAACAGAACTAGAACAGAACTAGAACAGAACTAGAACAGAACTAGAACAGAACTAGAACAGAACTAAAACAGAACTGCAACAAAACTAGAACAGAACTAGAACTAAAGTAGAACTAAAAAGCCAATAATAAAGACTAAGTATATTACAAATAACAAAGACTAGACTATAGTCAAAAGTCTCGAACTCCGTTCTTTCCAATTATTTTTTACTTTCATACATTTATTATTTAAAAAAAAAAAACATGCCTTTTACCGTAATTTAAATATTATGTAATACTTAGTTTATATTGTTAATATTTAAAAAACATTTCAACGTTCCCAACATTCCAAGTTTTTCAAAAGTTTTTTTAAAAATATACTTTCATAGTAAAAATCATGAATGACTATGTAAAATAATAGATTTAAATATAAAAGAGATCTTTTAAACTATAATAAAAGCTATATTTTAACAAAAACTAGCGGGAAAGGTGAACTTATAAATTAAACTTAAGTTAAGCTTTTATGCTTTAAATATATTAAAATAAGCTTTTAAACATAAATCAAAAGAACTAACAAAATATTTGTTAAATTGTTGAAAAAATTTTAAAGACTTTGAGGAAACGAAGTGGTTTAGAAGGCAAAGAAACTGAGATTTAAATAACAGTTGAGGACAAAACAATAGACTATATTTTAGGCAATATTCCATACTATATACTAGATTATAGACTATACTATAGACTAGACTATAGACTAGACTAGACTATAGACTAGACTATAGACTAGACTATAGACTAGACTATAGACTAGACTATAGACCAGACTATAGACTAGACTATAGACTAGACTATAGACTAGACTATAGACTAGACTATAGACTAGACTATAGACTAGGCTATAGACTAGACTATAGACTAGACTATAGACTAGACTATAGACTAGACTATAGACTAGACTATAGACTAGACTATAGACTAGACTATAGACTAGACTATAGACTAGACTATAGACTAGACTATAGACTAGACTATAGACTAGACTATAGACTAGACTATAGACTAGACTATAGACTTGACTATAGACTAGACTATAGACTAGACTATAGACTAGACTATAGACTCGACTATAGACTAGACTATAGACTAGACTATAGACTAGGACTATAGACTAGACTATAGAATAGACTATAGACTAGACTATAGACTAGACTATAGACTAGACTATAGACTAGACTATAGACTAGACTATAGACTAGACTATAGACTAGACTATAGACTAGACTATAGACTAGACTATAGACTAGACTATAGACTAGACTAGACTATAGACTAGACTATAGACTAGACTATAGACTAGACTATAGACTAGACTAGACTAGACTATAGACTAGACTATAGACTAGACTGTAGACTAGACTGTAATCTAGACTGTAGAGTAAAAGTGCTTTTTCTCCATAGTTCATCTTCATTTTCTTTAAGTTTTTTTATCTTAAAAAATTTAATTAACTTAATTCATAACATTTTCACTTTAAGCCATGTTATCAACTCATATGCATATTAAACTTATTAATTTTTTTTTTTTTTGGTCTTTAATTATACATTTTTTAAAGTTTACTCTGTTGGCCATAATTTGTATGTGGTTTTTATTTGTTTTTGGCCCCACAATAATCATAACTGTTGTTAACAACACAATTTCTAAACCGAGAAAAAAATAATACTAAAATATAAACTTGTTTAATAACTTTGGCAAAGCTAAAAAAAAGCATTGCTTGTTTTATTTTTAATGACCTTGTAAAACGTAATATTTATTTCACTTTCTTTCATTTAAACTTACTTTGTAAAGGCCAAAAGCAATAGCAGCAACGCCAGCAACAAACTTAGTTTATAGCTGAAGTAAACTTTTACTCAAGGTTAATTTAAATAGAATTTTTGTTTTTCGGAATAGAAAAAAAAAGATTTCTAAAAAGGAAAATGTGAAAAATACCAACAAAAATATGATTAGAAAATGTTCTAACTAAACAAAGATTACCCTTAATGTTTACATTTTTGTGTACATGAGTAAAATTTGTAAAAAATTTATCAATTTTAATTAATAAATGTTAAAGAACATGTAGAGCACTAGTTGAAATAATTATAATTTAAATATTGTAGCCATTAAAGGTGCGGTTTCAGGTTAAAAAGGAGTGTTGTCCACAAATTGAGGGAAAAACAGAAAGAAACATGTTGATTTATCAAGAATGTGTTTAATGAAAAGTTGTAAAGAAATCGATAGAAATTACAAGAATTGCGAGATTAACAATAAATGGAAAATATTTACTTGAAATTCTAAAGAAATATTTAAACTAGTGAATTGTTTACACAAGGTAAACTTTGAAAAAATTAAAAAAAATACGAAAAATTGCATAAAACTTGCATAAATTATTGAATATATGACAATTTTTGCAATTCTTGACATTATGTAAACAATGTCAAGAATGTAAACAATGTAAAAATCTCAAAAATGTTTTATATAACTTATTGCCACTTAGAAATCAATAAAATTTTATTTAAATCTCCTCCATTTTCAATTGTTTACACAAGGTAAACTATGTAAACAAAGACAAAATTACACAAAATGAACTTCATATGATAAAAGAAACGTATATTTGACTAAAATTTGTAATTTTACAATTGTTGACATAATGTCAAAAATGTAAAGTATTTAGTCACGTATGTAAACAATGTAAAAAATCCTCAAAAATAAAGAAATATAGTATATAATTGAAAACTGCTTGTAGTTTAACTAAAATTTCTTTAATTGCCTACTATTTTCAATTGATTACACAATGTAAACTACATGTAAACAGTGACAAAATTTTAAAAAATTACATTCAGATGATAAAAGAAACGTACATTTGCCTAAAATTAAAATTTTTCAATTGTTGACATAATGTCAAAAATGTAAAGTATCAGGTCAAGAATGTAAACAATGTAAAAAAACCTCAAAAATAAAGAAATGTAGTATGTAATTGAAAACTGCTTGAATTTTAACAAAAATTTCTTTAATTGTCTAATATTTTCAATTGTTTACACAATGTAAAATATGTAAACAAAGACAAAATGACGCAAAATGAACTTCATATCATAAAAGAAACGTATATTTGCTTAAAATTTGTAATTTTACAATTGTTGACAATACGTCAAAAATGTAAAGTATTAAGTAAAGAATGTAAACAGTCGTGTAAAACATAGAAAATATCGTAAATAATTGAAATCCGACTAAATTTCAATAAAATTTCTTTAAACTTGTAAAATGTTCAATTGTTTACACAATGTAAACAATGACAAAATATGTT